TCGTATATGATTGCACTCCGCGCCTCTATCTCATCTTGCAGTCGGCGGCGCAGGCGGCAACGCATCTGCCGACAACGCGGCCGCCAGCGAGTTCGACTCCCGGTGCGCGTCAAAACATTTTTGCTTTTTTTTTGTAAAGTATAAAATGGGGTCTATAGGGTTGGGGAAGTCATAAAAAGTCATATTAAAAAGTAATAGGGTTGTTGGAGTGGAAGAAAAGAAGACAAAAGTAAAGACTAGATCAGAAGACAGACAGACACACTAATTAGGTTAGTTGGACTTGTTTGAGAAATTGAGAATTTTTTAAACATTTTAAAGCAAAAATGGCAAAAAAAAAGATTTCTTATCACTATAGGTGGGCTCCAGTCACCTGACTTATATTGAAAAAAAAATAGATGAAAAACTATTTTTTTTTATTGAAAAATAATTTTTTTTTGCTTTTTTTTGTCTCTAAACAATAGAAAATTCTAGAAAAATTCCAGAAAAAACTACCTGAGTCATAAAATTCTTTCAAAAAAATAAAAGAAAGAATTTCAAAAGAAAAGAAAGCCTCCACCAATGACATCAGGGGGGATTTTTGAGATAAAAAGCAATAGCGAGAGAGTATAAGGTCTGAAGAGACGCCAGACAATTTCGAAAGGAAGTGTAATCAGTTGAGAAAGAAAGGGAGATGACTTTGACCAGTAAACAGAAAAATTGCCGCTAGAAGAGACGCAGAGAACATGAGGGGTCAATGTGTAATAGTTTTGGCTTGCTTGTTTGGTTTCTTGACCACTAAATTGTATAGAAACCGATCTAAAATGATTAAAAAAGGTTTAAAAAAGATTAAGGGGCACCGGGGAATCGAACTTGGGAGTCCCAGCTCCAAAAGCATTCGCGCTCCCGCTCACAGGTAGAGGGAGACTGCTGAAAAACTGCTGAATGACAGCTGAAGAGGCGCAAACTGGCGAATGACTGCTAGTTGGCAGCCGAAGGAGAACTGACGGGCCGTCGACGGACAGTCGGAACCCGTTGGAAAACAGACTTGAAGGTTTTCATTGAAAATCATTCAGAAAACAATTTCTCATACCCCCCACTAGATTATAGGGAATGACA